TGAGGTTTGCTGTATTGAATGAATGACTTTTATGGCTGGTCCACCCGGGTGGGATAGGATCAGTCGCTGTTTTATTTGAGGGTTTCTGAACAGGAGGACGAGCACCCCGGGTGGGGAAGGCTCAGAATCCTGGTGTTTATTTTAATGAGTTGTGGTGCGTATTTTCTTCTGAGGGAGTAACGGCATAAGACTAAGCGTACCCTAGGGTTAGGGCGGCTTAGCCATGAGCCATGAACTAAATGGTCAACCAGAGTATAAAACTTGATATATATACAATTTGAACTTATACTTCTGACAGACTGGGCACCCCGGGTGGGGAAAGCCAGTCAGTGAGTCAGGTAGAACTAAAGAAGAGGGAAAGAGATGAAGAGTAAAACGAAGGTAATTGGGCAGACTGAACGTACCCTAGGGTTAGGGCGGTTCAGTTATATGCTCATGATAACACTAAGGAGCAGAGAGTTAGTATAAATCTGATTTTATTTCCCCTTCTAGACATGAGGCTGAATCGGAAGTTCCACTAGTTGGAAAGGTCCGATTGACTGCCTAACAAGAGAAGGAAAAACATAAAGTATGTGAAAGTATTTGTACCCTATTTTCTGTTGTATGGTTAACTAGGCGTACCCTAGGGTTAGGGCGGTCCAACGTTCGGTGTTTATAACTGTTCAGGCAGATCAGCACACCCTAGGGTTAGGGCAGCCTAATCATATTGCCTTATGTAACCTAAATTGTATGGCTAACTAGGCGTACCCTAGGGTTAGGGCGGCCTAGTGATATGCTTTTGTCGTAGATGTGCTGTGGGTTGGACATACCCTAGAGTTAGGGCGGTCCAACTTTTTGTCGTTTGTACTTATGTTCAGGCAAGCTAGACCTACCCCTGGGTAGGGATGGTCTAAAATGATGCCGTATGTAACTTTGTTTAAAGCAGATTGGGCACACCCTAGGGTTAGGGCAGCCCAGTTCTATGCTCTTTGTCGCCAGTTAAGGCAGAAGCCAGACGTACCCTAGGGTTAGGGCGGTCTGGTCATATGCCTTATGTGTACAGTTCATGTTATGTTGGGCACACCCTAGGGTTAGGGCAGTCCAAATGTGTGTACTTTACTTGTGTACCTAGGCAGGTCAGGCATACCCTAGGGTTAGGGCCTTGTTTGACCGTATGCCATAGGAAAGAGGGATGTAAAAGGGAAGGAATTGAGAAATTTAACGAACTGCTTGAACTAAATTAATGTGGGATTGTGAGGGATGTTTGGTTATGCATGCTTGTGGGCTCTCACTCTGGGGCATCTCTTTAATAGTTTAGTTGTTTTAGGTGCTCGCCGAGTGCTAGAGCTATAGGCAGGTAGGATGGATGATGGGAGGGAAAGCTTGGTATAAGATAGGACTGACTCTACTAGGAGTTAGGATCAVTGTTATCGCACAGCCTCATCAAGAGGTCGTATAGATTATCGTTGATTCTACCTTCCAAGTAAGTGTCAGAAGTTAGTCCCAAGTAAAGTAATGCCTTGTCTTTTCAGTTTCAACTTTGTATAAATCTTGGCAACCTCCTATTCCTACGGGAAGCGCTGCCGAAATTTCTACAAATATGAAAGAGTTAGTCATTTTTTTGACTCATAGAAATTCTGAAAAGACACATTTCCTACGGGAAGCGTTGCCGAAATTTTGTAGAATTTGGAGAGTTAGATTGTTTTTAGCTAGGAGAAATCTGGCAATCCATCCTGTTTAGGGGATATGCTGCCGGAATTTCTTACATTTTTAGCTAAACATCAGAGGACAGTTAGGAAGGTAGGATTATTTTTTTATCACTCAAGCATGGCTTGGGTACTGGTCTGTGCTGCATTGCAGGTCACCTTTATTCATATTGATTCAAGGCTTGACTATCTTCAAATTGATCCTACAGGGATCACCTTCTATTATCCTTTGATAACAGGTCGGTTTCCGGCTCAACTCTAATTCATTCTTGCCACTCAACCTAAAAGGCTTTAGCCGTGTGGTTTGATTTATTGGTTGTGTTTTTACCCGGACTTTAATTAAATTGCCATTTAATAAAGATGTTGAGTACTTTGTTTTGAGAGTTGCGCAAAGAGTAAGGCTTGTATGGCTAAAGCAAGGGGTGTGAGCGCAAAGAATGGTTGAAGTTGACCCCGTGCAGTGTGTGCTCTGTTGATGTGTATTTTTGATGCGATTACAGGTATGTTATGTGAATTGAAGTCCAGACTTGGTTTTGCGTATGATTATATGTGTATATATACTTTTGAAGGAAGCCGCACTGTGATTGTGAGAGTGATCGTCTCCTATCTCGTAACTTTTATATCATATTTTCTTGTGTCCGCACGACCCGTTGAGGTCGCGCATAGTGATTAAATAAGTTCTACATTAAGAGAAAAGAGAGGTCCCTTCTTAGTTCTTGCTTCTTAGAGTTATTATGGTTGAACGTTGTAGTCCGTGGCAGCCGTCAAAGTCAAACCCCTTGATATTTGACCGCCACGATGGCTTGGAGCTGTCTACTCAACCCCTCTGCACAGGGTGCAGAAGAGGGTGTGGTCTTCAACCGCACATGGCGGTTGTCTGGCGTCGAGAGATTACCCCTCAAAGCGCCTGTCAGCCGACACTTGAGCGTCGAACGCGACCCTCGAGATTACCAAGGGCCGCGAGGCTACGAGTACTACATAGTACCCCATCAGCGCGAGTGCTTGCGTATGTCCGCATGGCTGGTTGATATGAGGAGGTCATGCGCTCGCTCGGTATTTATAAGGAAATCCAGCGCGCGATACCTATCTGATTCTTGCTGCATAGAGTTATGGGTCGGATACTGAAGGGACTAGGAGTATTGTTGTATCGTGGTGTTGTTTGTAATGGTTGTTTTGTGTGTATCCATGTGTTATGCATGGTAAGTGTGAGTGTTGTGGCGTAACGCGTGGTGTGTAGGGTGCGTCCTAGTCGACCGACGTCGGATTGCGCTTGGGACTTCAGCCCCCCAGTGCGTCGATTCGCGTGCGGGTTCGATTTTGGGCGTTCGACCGCGCGCACCCCCTATGCTACAGCGAGCGAGAAACGCCCTTGGCTGGACCACCTCTGCAATTGCATACGAAAAGCTTTCGCATGTGGTTCAGTAGTTCGGCGGGGATACGCCCACCTAAGGGATGGTGACAGCTCCCGCAGGTGGAGGTAACGGATGCCTCGCGTGACCCTGTCCTGTTGAAGGGGCTCGCGAGAGGTACGGCTGGCGCACTCAGCCGGAGCGGCAAACGCTCTCCGCGACAAGTCCTGCCAAATCCTGCGTGACGCGGCCGGGAGGGTCCCCGTGCGGGATCGATGCGCTCGGCATCGTTGAAAGGCTGGTAAAATGAAAGGCACGGGCATTTAGGTGGGGGCGGCAATTCAAGCAAATGCAGGACCGGTAGCTGCCTGTGGCATTTTCTTGGGAACCGGTAGGTGGCCGTGGTCCAAAATATTTTGAAACGGCGTGGGGGCCGCAGGTCCTTGAAATTCAAATATAAAAAGGCGTGGACCCAGGCCTACAGCCTCATGCCCGACCCACCCACTTCGGCCCAATCGGCCTAGTCACTGTTCTGGATGATTTTGTTTGAATCTGGAAGCAGTTCTGAGCCAGATTCA